CTGGTAGTTTATTTTTACTCATTTTTTCACTCTTTTTCGGCTGTGTACCTGATAATTCATGAATAATAATAATTATATGACATTAGATTCCCAGAAAAAAAACAAAAAAAACAAGCCTTCTTGGTTCTAATGGAGTGATATGAAGGTCTTTGTCACTTAATTTATTTGCCCTCCTTGTTAGGCTATCATCTCCCAGGCTGCCTGCTGGTGGATTTCAATGTTTCTTGAGGGTCTACTGGGACACTGAAAGAGACATAAATACACCAGGGAGAAAGTGGAGCAGCATTCTGAGTACTGGAAATGACATGGACTAACATTAGCGACAGACATCTGTGGATAACATTATGTTGTCTGTATTCCACATGAGGAGACAGCAGGAGGAGGAGGATTGGAGCAGGTCCTGACGTCACACATTGCTCTTCCACCTTTTCTTCTTCTCTCTGCACAGCTATTGTCTGGATGAACTCTGGCTGCAGGAAGCTTTTGAATTAAACAGCGTTGGTATTCGTTTTCTATATTTTCTTAGTTTAGGAAGTTTATTTTGGGTTTTCATATTTCAGGTTCGATTAAGGTTATAACTCTAATTTTAAAGCAAACTACACCTCTAATTCATTATTATCCTGATAAAGAATCCGCTGGTAAGGTGCATTGTGGGATAGGAGGGTCAACAAAATATAAAATCCACAACACAACAGCAAAGAGCCACAAGAGAAGTACTAATAATGCTGAATCAGAAGTTATCCTAGCAAGTTTATCATTATTTCCATTTTAGCATAAACTTTGTGACTTTTGGTCTTGCATTGTGGCTTTTGCATTTTGTTCACCCCTTTGCACTAATGCATGCTGGATTATATTGTCAGGAATTGTGCAAACAGGAAAAGTCAGACAAAAATCTGTGAAAACTGGGCAGTTCAGCTCACATGGGCTTTAGGAAGTATGGCTGAAGAAAAATCATTCAGTTGTTAAATTAAAACATTTTACAAACACTTTAATGTTATTTGATAATAAAACTTTTGCTTGTATAGCCAAATAGGTAACCCACATTTACCATGGGTGTAGCATAATAAATTCAGAAGTAAGTCTGAAGAGAGCCAGCTAGTTAGCTTGAATTTAGCAAAACTAATCATGAATTTAGCAAAACTAATCATGTAATCATGAATGGCTTCATCATTCTGCTAAAAAAGGTAAGTATTTATTTACACCACAGAATGTAATGTTAATCCTCTTCGAATAGATCTGTTAGTGTAAATTTAGACAGACTGAC